AAAGGAAAGAGATATTCTTATATTTGAGTTGCATGAATTTTGCCTTTTAAAGTTCCCTAATATTCAGTTTAGTATCAATATAGAGTAGTCACTAAATCCACAGGTACCCGTGAAATATTGGACATTTTCACCTCTAGGATTTTGTTTGGTATCACCAAGGCAAGGACAGGGACAGGGTATTAAAAGCATGTTACCTTCCTGTTCACCCATCTCTTTGCTAGTTATTTTATTCCCATAACTGACTTCTTATTCACAAACATCATTTAAGTCTGTGTTATCTTTATCCCCTAAGCCTCAAAAAGGTTGGAAATATCTCCAAAGTGAACATTTTCTGTCGTACTTTCACTTCATCATTATTTTTTGAAAGCTGCATATTTAATTAAATTGGCCTTTTGTCATTTGTTTTCCAGGCTCTTTGGTGACCTATGCTGAAGCATTTGACAGCCACCTAAAGTTAGTTTTCCCTCCGCATTAAAGCATGTCCCACAGTCATTTCACACTATAGCTGTTTGTAGACTAGTGTTCTCTGCATCACTATATTTTATGAACTATACTTAGATGCTTGGAGTACATATTTTATGTGGAACATATTACATCCTAGAACAGGGAAGCTATTCTTTCCTAGGTCTGTATCCAAGATGAACCAGTGCCTTGTTTTCAAGTATTTTGGGGAATTTGATTTCCCATGATATGCATACTTACTGATCACATGCTCTCATAAGTTCTGTGAGCTTCTGAGAACCATTTGATTTAACTTTTGTGGTCTCAGGGCAGTTCTTCCTTCCCTATTTTTTTTTTCCTAGATAACTTGTCAGTTTTATGACATAGCGATTTCTTCAACCTAAGTTGTTTTTCTGTTAATGAGCAACATTACTAGATATAGTGTGCAAATACATTGGGCCACAGCTATCTTCTAGAAAGTAAGTAGGATAGCATCATTATTTTTATGCAAAAATAAATGTGTATTAACCATTTGCTACGCTCCTTTTCTACTGGCCACTAGGATTTAATCATAGTTAAGATATTTAACATTTGGAGGTATATTCATTAAAATTAGAAAATACAGAAGTACCCCATATGTTCACTATTTTAACATTCTTCTTAAGGACCTAAGTCAATTCAATGAAAAAGAAATAGGATTGGTAACTTTTCATAAAAGCAAAATTGCCCTTGTTTACTTGCATATTGTTCTAATTTCTAGAAAGTCCAAGGTAAATACTAAAAATGACTAGAATGAATAAAGAAATTATATTAAAAGTTCTAATACATAATAAAAGAATACGTATAACAATACACACACACACACACACATTTATGAAGTTAGCTTTTAGAAGCCCTTGGGAACTTATAGTTCAGTAGGAGTCTATTAAATAAGCCTACTTACACTTAGTGTATCATCATTTTCATAAATTTTTAGAGTAAATGTTGCTATTCAAAGGAAAATATATTAATACTTTCATTATGTAGAAAACTATGTTAAGGAATCTTCATTTAATACTCTTTTCTACAGAAAAGAATTTAACTGTGTTAAGATAGTTTTGGACTCATTCTCGATGGGATGATTACAAACATCAAAAAGCTATTGGCAGACAGTTTTTCATGAATTTCTCACACTTTTGCAAGTCTGAGCCAGAGGAACTGTCTGTGTCCTAGACTGACTTTTCAAGACTGTTTGTATAGCAGAGAGCCTTGGAAGGTAGAGGTGGTATCTCCCTGGAGGCATAAGGTCACCATGCTTACTGTGCAGTGTAAGTCATTTTCCTCAGCTTGGCCTTCTGCAGAAACACAGCCCACTGTATGTGTCTGTGTCCCTATCTCTGCACCACTTGTGGGAATTGGAAAAGAGGCATAAGGAATGTTGATAGACTAGATACTCCTATTACTGTAATGATAGTCTTTACACTGGCCTAGAAGTCTCTTAACCTATGGCAAGTCATTTTATTAGCTCAACGGAAGGATAAAGAATTCATAGTTGTCAAAGGCTCTCATTTCTCAGTGGACGTCCTTCAAAATTATCTCCAGGTTCTGGATTCAAATGACCATTAACAAAGCACAGAGAGAAGGATTTCTCCCCAGCCTTGTTCATGTGCATTTAAGCACGAGTTGACTTAGACTCTGAATGGGGCTGGTGTGGTAGAGAAGTTGTACAGAAACTTTAAGTCAGACATCTCTTATTTGCTTTAAGCCAGGGAGGTAGGCCATCTCTTATGCTTTATGACCTGATAACAAACAGCTTTAGGTAAGATTTCAGTGTGGAGGCAGGAAGTCAGAGCAAATGCTGGGAGGCCACCAGCGTGCAGTGTAGGGAATGATTATCAAGTATCCAGCACAATGCTTGATATGTTCCATGCTTTATCTCGTTAAGTTTTCCTGTGGTCATGTGAAAAGGCTGTACCCTTACCCTGCCATGTTATCTTTGAGAATCAAGACTCAGATATACATGGAGTCACTAGTTAGTGAATAGTTGAGTAGAAATTCAAACATACCACCCCTCCTGCAGTCCATTTCTGAATGTATTGAATGAATCCCAGATAGAATGTACTGTATGAAATCTATTGAATGAAATAGAGTAAATATATTGAAAGTGCTGAATGAGGTCCAAAGAAGGGACTCTAGTAAAATCATGTAGCTAATCATTCCTACAGATGTACAGATGTAATATCAGTAAATCTGCCATGTGTAGTCTTTCTTTAAGTGACTTTCCTGTTGGCAACATTTTCTTTTTAAATTTTCTATGTATTTCCAATAACCAAAAACTTATGGCACATCTATGTGTACTTAATATCATTTATGCTAAATTATTTTATAAATTAAAAGTTATCTTTATTTGTAATTATGTCTGTTTATTCATTCATACCTGTTGTATAAGAGGCTTTGTTTTAAGTAATAGGGATAAAGCACTGAACAAAAAATGGTTTCTACTTTCAAGGCACTAACATGCTTTTGTAGGAAGAAAACGTAGAGTAAATATGTCATGTAGTTGTAAATAGTGAGAAGATGGGCACAGGGCATGCTCCTCTAGGGAAGGCAGTCTAGCAAGGCCTTTGCTACTAGGGCAGTGTTTGAAGGAAACAGTGTTTGAGCGACTCTACTGGCTAAAGGAAGAATGTGCCAGGGGAAACAGCTCAAAGTCTCTGAGGTGGAAGCATGCCTGATGTTGTGCCAGGAACCTCAGCGAGGCCTGTGGCTGGAGTCAGATCAGGTGCATGTCTTGAGTTTGAAATTTAAAAAAAACAAAAACAAAAACTTCATAAATAGGTAAGATAATAGTACCAACCTCCCACTTGGAAGACTAGCTTCAGTAATTTGAAGCTTACCGAGTTCTCTAGTTTCAAGACATCCTGGTCTGACTATAATTCTCTTTTAGTTCTGTCACTTGCTGGCCCTGTTACCAGGACAATTGAGCCCATTTCCTCCTCTGTAAAGTGAGCTTACTAATGCCTGTGCTGTCCTCCGCACAAAACTATTGGGAGGGACGAGTGACTTACTGTATTATGAAGTTATTTTTTAAAATGGTGCAGTGCTCTTGGGTAACTGTTCCACAGAAGAATGGCATGGGGCTTGAAGGCAGTTCGTGAAGTATCTGGCAGGTCACTGTGTGAGCCAGGCTTCCCATAGTGATTACCAACTGTTCATAGTACAATTAATATTTGTGAAAAATGGAGAATTTGTGGTGTGACATTTTGATATGACTTCTTGGGATCAGAGCCAGAATGACCATTAAATTAAATGTTTTGGAAACATGCATTAGTGCAGACAATTTAGCAAATATACAGGTAACATCTATTCTCATTATCATTTCAAGGTATCATCTGAATGTGTACACAAATCATGAATTCACCATGTGCTTAAACACAGAGGATATGTGCTGAGAGGCCAAAAAAAAAAAAAATGGGAAAACAGATTTGTCTTTTATGCTTATGGCCATTTTAACTAGAAACAGCAAATATTTTTTTCCACAGAGACATTGGAGGCATGATTTGCTTTAGGCCTGCCTCAATATAAAAGAAAAATCATTCAGTTATTCAGTGATAAAGAAAAAAAAATGAGTGTTGTATATTTGACAGAGACTTCTTTTGCATTAGAAATGGAGATGTGAATGAAGGATATTTTTTCTTGGTTTTAATGTATAGCAAAAGCATATTCTGACAAAAACACCCTAGTAAAATCTCTAATTTGAAATTTACTAGACAACACATAGGCTTACAGTTTTCAAGTGAAAATTAGAAATTAATTTGATTATTTAAAACTTTAGAAACTTAATGTGGAGTATGGCGAAATAAAACATTTTCAAAGAAAACAATTCCATATTTTAACATGTTAAATGCCAGTGTACTAGTTATGTGGAAATCTACTTTGGATTTATTTGGGTAAATAAAGTTTAAAAAAAAAACTTTCCTGAAATTTTGTTGTATAATTATTTGAAATTTTTACTATAATTTTAATATAATTATTTGAAATTAAGGCATATAGCTTTTGAAGATTGGGTACTACTAGTCAGTTTTTCATTATGATGGTGAAATTCCTGAGGCAGGCTAACTTTATAAGGAAGAGAAGTTTATTTAGCTGATAGTTAACGGAGGTTCAAAAGCATGACAGTGGCAGTGGTTCATTCTGACCAGGGCCTTCTCAGTTGTGTCACATCAGTGGGAGCCCGTGTGTGAGGGGAGATCACATTGTCAATGGAAGCTGAAAGAGAGAAAAGGTCCTCCCAAGTCAAACCCCCAGTGATCTTGGAACCATTAGGCCCCACCTCCCAGTGTTTCCTACTATCTAGCATCACTGCACAGACATCAGGCTCCCAACATATGAACGGACATTTGAGTGACAAACAACACCCAAACCTTAGTAGTTTGTTTTGTTTTTGGATGTTGTTGAATTTTCCCTAAGCACATTATAAAAATTTTCAAGTGTTTAATCAAAGTAATCAAATTTGAATTCTTCTGTAAACCAGTTAAGTAGCTTTGCCATTAGTTTCAAGAGTGTATTTCTACTTCCAGGTAGACATAGCTGATGTTGAGAATGAAGAGAACCGGTACTCTCTATTCATGGAACTCTTGGCATCTAGTCAGCATGAGGTGGAATTTCAGCACTTGGTTTTGCTCTTGCAAGCCTGGCCACCTATGGAAAGTGAAAATAGGTAAGTATTGCAGTTAGCCTAATTAGAGGTCTTTGGTCTAGACTACATTTCTGAAAATGTAGCATCTCTAAAGAGCCAGTGAAAGAATATAAGTATGTTCCCCTTATTTGAGGGGTGTGCGTTCCATGACCTACAGGGCTTCCTGAACCTTTGGACACCACTGAACTCTATGTGGTCCATGTTTTTCCTGTACATACATACATACATACACACACACACACACACACACACAAAGTTTAATGCCGTTTCCATCTTAACTAAGCACTCTTCATGCACTGTGAGTTGCATCTTAAGTTCAACAATGAAACTAGCATGAATTTATTTTCCTTATTCAAAACTTCACAGTTAAAAGATTCGTTCTTAACCATAGTTCTTTCTGCCTCAGCACATGGGATTTTTTTCTCATGAAATTCAGAACTTTCCATTAGTCACTTAAAGAAGACACTGTGAGCCTTCTGTTTGGCACATCCAGATTCCCAAAATCACTGCTCTTGAACTTTGGGGCCATTATTAAGTGAAATAGGAATTGTTTGAACACAGGTACTGAGATACCTAGATGGTTGATCTATTAACAGAGATGTTAAATGGCTAATGGAAGAATATTATATACAACATGGATACACTGGATAAGTATGCAATTTAAAACTTATAAATTATATAATCTGGCATTTTCCATTTAGTATTTGTAGCTGACCATGAATAACTGAAACCTTAGAAAGCAAAATTGGAAAAGGAAGGTGTGTGGGTGTATGTGGTGTGTGTGTGTGTGTTTAATCAATATTTGCCTTCTAAGGTCATTAGCATTGGTTTTGAAATACTGCAATGTCTTTCTATTTCTCCTTGCTCCTACACTCACTTTTTCTTACACTTTTTCTTCAAAAGTTTCAGACTCTGCTGGATAAACATATCCAATTTATGATGTCAACACAATAACTTTGTTCCAGTATTTTGTTCCAGAGAATTTCTTGCCTATCTTTTGACACAGCATTGTAAGCTCCATGTGGGTTAAATGAATCATTCCCACTTGTTGGGGTTGCACACCATTATGTACAATTTACATAGGTTATCAATCATTCACACAGACCTACAAAGGAAGGTGATGTTAGCTGATTTTGTAGATGAAGGAATAGTAGCTCAGAACTTAAATAATATCAGGCATCACAGAGCTAATAAGTGGAGGAGACTCAGTTGTACCTAATATCTGGCTTCCATTTCTGCTTATGTTGTTTCTTCTGTTTCCTGCTGGGCTGACAGCTGCTGCTTTCATCAGCATGGGTTGCTTCTCCAGTCCCTGTGCTAGCAGCCACAAACCAACCACACACACACACCCCCCCCCCCGCCTTTTTTGGAAGAAGTGGCCAGATTTCCTCTGATTGCACGTGCTGGCTGTCATGAGCCACAGTATCTCATTGGTGAGGCCCAGCCTGCTCGGATGCTGTTTGTTCCCTAAGCTCTGCCCCAGGCCAGTGCCCATCTCCATGTGTGAGAAGTTAAGGACGTCCTCCTGAAGATAACATCATTTTGTAATCATTTTAGAACTGAAAGAACATCTGAAGAAGACTCTTTATGTGAACCCAAAGATGAGACTATTAGGAATTTCTGAAGCAAACCAAGGAGAGCAGTGTTCCTATTTTGGTTTGATTTTTAACCAAACATTTTCAGGAAGAAAAAGGTGTTTCTCGGATCCTGTCATCTGTGGCTAGTGGCATGCTGGCTTGCGGCCTTCAAGAACAGGTTTCTACCTGTACTGTTTGAGCTCTGCATTGCAGACTCTCCCAGCTCATCATGAAATCTCCAGTGCCTTTGTGACAGTGGATTCTCTTGGCAGAGCTGGGGGTATGTTAAAGAATACATCCTGAGTCCAGCTCTCTTTAGTGGGACCTGGAATCTGTTTCTGAACAAACTTCTGGTGAGCATAATGTGAAGCAGGCCCAGAGCCCACTGATTGGATTGTCAGTAATGCTTCACTCTTTAGGAAATTATTAGAGTTCATTTGTAGATTTCCTTATACCCTCATTTCTGAACTCTAAATGTGACATGACTATTAGATAAGTTAATTATGTGGTTTTTCAGTTTCTTTTACTTTTAGAACATTAAAATGACATTTAAAAGTTATTCACTTGGCCAAGTCATTCACTTGGTTCATTTTAAGTGAACTCAAAGCAACTTCACTTAAAACATCTATTGCATTTATAACATTTACAAGCATTTATATACAAGAACTATTAGTTTTATAATATATTCTTACTTTTGAAGTCACCTATGAAATAATTTTTAAACTGCTATCCTGTACATGACAACTACTTTATTATATCATTACAATGAGGACAAAGCATTAAGCAACCTGTGTACCCCTTAAAAGTATTTTCCCTCCAATCAAATTTTGACTTTAGTATTTCTAAAATAGCCAAAAAAAAAAAAAGGAAGATAGTGTAAGAATGACTGCATGTTGCTAGTCAATGCAATAAAAAGACTATAAGTTAAAGAATTTGCTTGATCTACATGACAGCTAGTTTACTAATATAAATTGAGTATCTCTTGGCTGAAATGCTTGGGACCAAAAGAATTTCAAATTTTTGAATATTTAAATATACATAATGTGAATTCATTTAGGTTTCATCTACACCCTACACAAAGTCTTAAAAACACCTATGCACAGTGTTTTTGATGGCCTGGATTTTGATGGCAACCTGTCACATGAGATCGGGAATGGAATTTTCCACCTTTGTTCATCTTGTCCAATCTAAAAACGTGCCAGATTTTGGAGTATATTTTGGATTGGGAGATTTTGGGTTAGGGATGATCAGCCTGTATCAACTTTGGTTTTGGGTTTTAGTCCCTTATAGGAAAATACAGTGCTCACGGAAAATATACCAGATTTGTACTTCTGGAAGATTCATCGTTTTTCACCCACTATATTACAACTAGCTGGTGAAAGTGTTTTGATCTTTTGTTGTCAAAGCCATATTGACCATGGGCCCATTGTCCTGGCAGATTAGCGTTCTTACTCTAAGAGGTAGTCCAGTAGAGAAAGGCCCCGGACCTCTGAGGAGGAGAGTGGAGGTATATCCTTTAGTTTAGCAAGACTCCTCAGCCCATCAGGAGCTCTCTCGGAGCTCTTTGTATCTTGAGATAGGCAGTATTCTTTGTCCTCAGAGATTGTTTGAGCTGACACACCAATGCTGCCAAAGGCTAGTGTTGTAGGTCTCCTTATCACTATTGTACTTGAAATTGTTTTCAGCAGGCAAGGACTAGACTTCCTTCAAGGGAAGGCCCACTCCTGCTTGTTGAATGTCTAGAACCTAGTGCTTTGCTAAGGAGACAACAGACCCTTAATAAATGATAAAGTACTTACCAACTCTAAACAGAGTCAGTACCAGTTCTTTATATACAAGCTCCTGGCAATGTTTATATGAAACATGGAATAGTGGCAGCCAGAGAAGGAAAAGAAAAGGCAAACCATGTTCTAAATACAAGAAAGCAACATGAAGTACAAAGCACACCACATACTATCTGTTGCTCTTCAGTCAAGCTCCTGAGCTGACTCCATTGCAGTAGTAGTAACAACAGTATCAGCAGGAGCCAGGAGTAGCCTAGTGAATATTAAAGTGTGCTTGCTAGTAAGAGTAATGCCACAGTGACATACTTCATTCATTAAATAAAGAACTCTGCCAGGCAAAAACATTAAATTGCCTTTCACTAGAAAATAACAGGCCCAAAAGAGTTGCACAACTTCCCCAGAACCATGCAGCTGGGTTAAGAGTATTAAATAACTTCTCAGAGTTACCCAGGAAATAAGTCAAGGGGGCTGGCTTCAAAGCTCAGGCCTTTCTATACCATCTTCTGTTCCCGTGCTCCTGTGCTGCTTGTTGATGCCACAGCACGCTGCTTCCGCCTTCACATGCTGTCTTCTCTTCAAGATCACGTCGAAGGAACTTATCTAGTTTCTGATTGTAGTCTGCCATTAGCATTTTATTTCATAAAGTGGAATTTCTTTTCTGTTTTAAAGTCTCCTACTGCAATTTTGAGAGCTCTAATTTCCAGTGCTTTGACTCTTCCTCCATTAGAACCAGTATAACCAGTAATCCATGGATGAGACTAGCTACAGAAATGCTGACCAGATGTACAGTGGACAACAAGGAGGAGCTGGGGGATGAAGTTTTGAAGATCTGTCGCTCTTTATATGGCACCAAGCATATGCTGCCCGCAGAGGTGAGTAGGTGTTTCAAGTGGATTCCCCAAGGATCCTCTCTCTTATCAAAACTCTTTATTCTAAGCAACACCAGTGACTGTACCTGAGGAACGTTTAGCTTGTGCCATTGCTGGTAGAAGCCCATAATTTGTAATGGATCTAATGAAGAAGAGCAATGCTGAAAGGATGTTTAGGAGTGGTTTTCTCTTCCTCAGAGCTCTGAAGCAGTATTCCTTTTGCAAGTCCCAGAGTGTAACCCAGTTCCAGTTCTAGTTCTCTCTGGATGCCCTTATGTCTAACCCAAGTTTGTGTTCTGAGGAGGTCACAGTAGCTCATGTGTTACCTGTTTGAACCGGGTCGGTTGTAAAGTGGTAATAAGCTCTAGCAGTTTCCTTGGCCAGTAACAAATAACCACTCTGAATTTTACATACCTCTTGACATAAAATTGAAACAAGATTGTATAACTATAATATTTATTCTATGACATGGTAAAAACCTGGCCATTTTGACCTTTGTTCTCTATTTAATCTCATGATTTGACTCTCAGACAATAAATATATATGCATAATATATATTATATGTACTAATATATTAGTCTATTGTAATATGTTATTCATGTAACATAGTATGTATTATACATATACGTATTACATTAATGTATGTAAACATACTTAGATGTGTATGTGTAAACACTTAGTACATTCTATTAATTGCAGCCCCCTTCCATGAATACTAACTCAGCAGCATATTTGAGCAATTTACATGTCTTAAATTTAAGCATTTAGATAATGGCATTAAATTGATTAATTGGGTTTGAGTTTCTACCACATAGGAGATAAAGTTGAAAATAAAATTGTAGATAACATCCTCATTGTAATCACTCAAGGAAACTATTCTTATTATGAATGCACATTTAATGAATTGTTTTCCAAGTGAGAGAATGGATAAGCATTTTTTGATTGAATTTTAAAATATTTTATCCATTTAAGGAAGTCGTCCAACCAGCAGAATGACAAAATTATTCTATGAAATATTTAAAATACCAACCTCAAAAACAACATCCCCTTACCCCAGAGGAGTATGATTTGGGCTTTGTACCATGACCCACTGATACTAGCTGCTTACTGACCTGTGATCCTCTTTGCTGTATTGTGAACACCTGTAAGATGGGACCTGTGACTGAATGTCTCTGTGTCCCCAGGGCAGGGTTCAGCCCTGCATAGAGTGGGCTTCAACACAGTTTGTTATCTACACCAGGGCAAGAGTACGTGAATAATGTGGGTTTCCCCTTCACCTTAATGTACGCTAAGATTAAGCATTGTCAGACCAGGACCAAATGCCAGAAGTGTCCCGCTGTCAGTTCTGCTGAGCGAAGAACATTATTTAGGATCTAGAGTTATTGTCTGACAAGCTACCGGTAATGGTCATAACCAATGTTTACTAGCACTCAAGAGTTTCACTTAAACATCTCCTTCAACCTTCAACACGGCCTGTAAGGGGGTCCTTATCTCCACTGATAGCTGATGGAACAGAGACTCTGAGGTCAAGGGTCACTTCAACTTCCTCAGTTGTATATGGCTCTTCAGATCAAGTCTCTGTTGAATGCTCAAAAAAAGAGTATTTTCAGATAAGCCATTGTTGCAACATTTGTGATACTTTGCAAGTGCATGTCTGCCCTTGTATAAGTGCATATCTGCAGTTGTATAAGCTTTTATTGTTAGTTTTTTCTTGTCCATATACTTTTTTCAGTAATGGCTTATAAGAAGCTAGCATCTAAACTTACTAATGGTTGAGAGGTAAGATTATTAGGATCTCTCCCATTGCCTAGAAGAGTTTGTGTTTTTAAATATCTTTATTGGTTTGGTTTTACCATTAACTTTTCTAAGGCAAAGAATATAAGCTAGCTGATGATGTGACTACTGAATCTTTGACCTTGACATCATCCACTGGCCAGGTAATCAAAGCTCAGTTGCAATTTTACATTGTCTGTTAGCCACCTAGGAATAGGTAACAGATGTGCATGGGTGTCCATTGTAGTAGTAAATCTTGTTCATATGACATTTAAATTTTAGGTAAATCTTCTTGGACATCAAAGGAAATAGGTCACAAGTTGTGCTTTTTTTTTTTTTTAAACCAAAAAGTAAGACTTAGTGGTTCAATGAGAAGTTAAATACCTGTGATGATTCAGTGCTTGATCTGCTTGTACAGCCAGGTTGAGGTACTTGGAAAAGTAGAATAATACATTATATCACTGCTACTGATTGATCTCAGGATCTCCAGTCAGTGATTCCTGCATGCTTTTTGGAGGTCACAATAGAAGCACAGCACCTAGAGCACGTTTTTCTACAGTCCTCCTCTCACCACTTCACAGAAAGGGCTCTCCTTGCTCTCCACAGAACTGGGCACGCCACACATGCAGAGCAAAAGGGGGCCTAGGGATGCACCAGGCTGCCCTGTTCACATAGGGCCTCAGCACTACCTGCAGTCTTCTCCACACCTTGTTTTCTGGTCTCAGAAAATCTCAGAGGGACTCTCGTTCTGTCTCTTCCATGGTGTTCCCAGGCTGTGAGGAGACTTGAACTGAGACCACCTATGCACTGTTTCACACACAGCACTCACTACCATCCATAAGGCCTTAATTTTCTTGGGGTGGAAGAGGTAGTAGATTAAAACCCACTTCAGAGTAGATTATTATGACTTCTGTGCTCCAGTTGAATGAAATGAAAGATAATTATTAAAGGAGTTCTGTTGCCTCAGTGACTTTTCATTTTTTTGTGCTGCCTCAGTTTCTTTCTCTTAATTGGTCACATTTATAGATTTTTTTTCCCCTCATGTGCCTTGATCACAGGAAGTTTGCCAGTGGTATATATTGCTCTTGTCAATGGCTCAATGTGCTCACATATGAATTAAAAATGTTACTAAAGAAGCACTATTATTACAAAGTGGAATTCTCTTGTTTATTTGACCTCATCTGGAGGTCATGTAGCTTAATTTCAGAGTTTCATAATATTTTATATCACTATAGTAAATCATCATCATCATCATCCATGACTCATTTTTTAAAACCATAACCCTGGTTAATGGAATGTGTGTGCCCAGTTGTTTACTAGAGGGTTCTTAAAGTGGATTCACCCTTTTTTTTCATTTCTATTTCCCATCCCATGAAAAGCTCTCATATTTATAGATTTGTTTTTCGCCATGACTCTTCAGAATGCCTTTTCATGGTTTCCTGCTATTATGGCGGTAGTGGTTTTCCTGATGGATAATACTACCAGCAAGATATAATCACTGTTCCTTGCAGGTCACATGTGTCCCACAATCTTGAAAGTTATAGGTCTTTCTTAGCTTGTATCCATGGCAATATATGAAGCATTAAGAGTGAAGGATGTAAAGAATAAGAAATTGGCATGAATTAGGTTCTTGGCATTTGCAGATCTAAAATTCCAAGTTCCAGCTATTTGTGACTGACCCTGAAGGTCCATGATTTCACTGAGGCACAGCATGAATTAGAGTCACAGATGCTTACAGGCTGTTGTGTGGGAGTATGTCACCCAGCTAATGAGGAAACCCGGCTAACCCCCAGCTTCAGAATCTCAAGTATGATTGTTCTCCCTCATGGTTGAGCCACTTTTGATAATGCCAGGAGCTTGATTTTTAGAATCTGATGACATTCAAGTTATTTAACCTTTCTATACTCTGCTTGCCTCATCTGATTGGTGGGACTGACATAGTACCTACCTCAGAGGATTTGAGGAGAAAACTAAATGAAATGATGCATAAGTAGAGTTCAGAGCAGCTGCATTCCCATGTGGAGACATAGACCAAGAGGCATCAGCAGTAGCCTAGTGGTCAAGCTCCAAAGCCAGTGTAATCTGAGAAGCTCTAGAGGACAGGAAACTAAGGCCTCTGGAATCCCCAACTGGCCCAGATGCAGTACATAATCACAAGTGTAATCACCTAGGCCTACAGAACCAGCAGGACGAGGGGCTGCTGTAGAGGAACACAGCTCATTCCAGGTCTTGTTGGAGAGTAAGTACTACAAGCAATCTTGCGGCCCCAGAGCAATGACTGGTAGATATGACACACCCTCTGGGCCTGTGCAGTTGATCCTTGAACTTCTCGTACCTCATGCTCCCCTTGCTGACTTAGTCTCTGGTTGAATACCTTTTGATTCTAGATACCTTGAGACCATCAGGATTGTGTGAGGTCAGAAGGAATATTGGTGCACCAGTCTATCTTCTCTGATCACCATCAGGCCACAGGAACCATGTCCTAGTATATCACACTAGATCAAAGTCTTTGGGGAGAAGAAATGCCCAGGATTATGAACTGGCTCTGAGCCATGCCCACCTAATCCTCTTCATTCAAGCCTCTCTCTTGTGGTGGTCTGTGTCATGATGTTCTAACAACTTGGAACTGTAAAAGTGCTGAATTAAGTGTTTTGTGGTTTTCTTGGCTGCTTTGGCCTTTCTTGCATTCCCCAAATACCTTTGTAAATCTCAATAAATGCCCCAATTGCAGTGCCCCTGAAAATATACAACAAACATAGAAGACAGAAGTATTTGGCCAATAACTTTTAATTAAGAGATCAAGCATTCTCAGTGGCTCACATAAACTAAGTTCCTCCCTTCAAGTGTCCTTGCCTGGCTGTGTGCCAACTGTGCATTATGCTTGTTCAGAAGAGCATACAGGTTATTTCATAAAATTTGTCATTAAAGCTAAGGTCAGTCAAGTGTTACGCTTAGTCTAAACATCATAACTTGCTGAGAAATGCTTTTTTTCTCATTACTAATAACTTATTGAGTAAGCAAATATGAGTGTTAGGCAAGAGGATTGTATACAAGTATTTTTAAGTATGGTATGTGCCAAGCATGTTTGGAATATGAGAAGAAAAAATATTCTTGCCAACACCTGGCAGTTGTTCCATTCAATATGGTAGCCACTGGTGATTTGTGAACATTACAATTAAAACTTAAGGTACTGGATTTCTAATTTTACTTATATGCACTAGTTTTATCTCTCTAATGTGGCTCATGGCTTATGGCTATGGTATTGGAGGGTGCTAATACATAATGGCTCCACCTTCCCAGAGAGGTCCCTGGACCGTATTCCTTCTGGGCTGTGCAGACAGTGAATGCTGCTGAAACCTGAGAAAAGGAGAACCAGGTCACAAGAAGCAAGTGGGACAAGGAAGCCAGGCCAGAGTCATATTTGGGAGTTTATGCTTCATCCTCCTAGATATTTTCTGCATCCCAGATGAAAAACATTCTGTTTGGCCCAGATGCTTGCAAGACTCCTCTGTGTGGTGTGTTCTGTAAGCACGCCTAGTGTTTTTCTGAATTAGAATCTGTGATGCTTGAAGTGTACATTTTACAAACAGCTATGCTGCTGTATTGACTGTTGTCACACCAGTTTGTAGAACACAGCCTTCTACTCTGAAATGTGAAGGCCTGGCCCCAATTCCTAGGAGAGACCTTCTGGGTAAAGGAGAGGAAGAAGGGGAAAAAAAAAGAGAAAGACCTATAGTGTATGGAATTCCAGTGGAGAACTTTATTCTAACTGTTAACTGGAGCTTCTTTGTGTCATTTTATCTTCACTCTATTATAATGTAAAGGAATTGTGAAAACATACATTTGAGTTTTTCTTCTCTGATCTGCTACTGTTTGAGTAGCACAGGGGAAAAATCAGTCCCCAGAGGGTAGTGATCCTCCATTCTTTTCTTGAAACAGCCATGCTGTAGTATGATGGGGCTGTGCTCATTGTCTGGTCATTGGTCCAAGAGTTTGGTTTTTTTAATGTTACAGCTACGGCCAGGGCACTAAAGGTAGCCAGCTCAGCAGGACAAAACAGCTTGCAGATTTTTTAAAAATTCGTTTATATTTTGTTTTATACATTATACTTTTGTTACTTCATTGTAAAGGATTATCATTTGTTACCTTATTTAAAACCTGTTTTCTCATGACAGATCCAATAAAAAGCTGAGAATACAGTTCAGACACACCTTCATAGGGCCACAGTTTTATTTTTATGCACCACAGATAGGATAATTTTCATGGAATGTCTTAGTTATGCTAAAGATTCACTTCACCTCAACTTTAGAATTAGAAATCATTTAAATTTTTTTCTGATATCCTTTGTTTAAGTGTATGACAACTAGACATAATTAACAGTAAGCACTGATATCTCTCTCTCTCACACACACACACCAAAAAGTACAAAGTAGATATAAATGTCCCCATTCTACTTGTGAGGAAACTAACCTGAGTTTAGGAGAATAAATTATAGTACTAGATTCATATGATGAGTACCATGCAGCCATTAAAAGCTATGTTGTCCTATGCTTTCTTAATTAATTTTATAGTTTAAAAGCTATGTTGTAGACAAATATAACAGATTGGAAGGATGATCACAGTTTACATGGAGTGAGTGAAGCGGATACCAACTCCGATATTCAGTATGGTCCTGTGTGTATTTTGTGCATGTTCTCCCTTCCCTGCTCCCTCCCCCTCTCACTCCTTCCCTTCCCTACACCTCTCTTTCTCCCTCTCTTATAGCAAAAGGGTGGAAAGAGGCATCAAGAGTAGCAGAGGGCTAGGAAATGATCCATGAATCATGCTCACCTGTTCCTATGCTTCCAGGGCATAAAGGAGCTGAGCCTGCTTCTGCTGCATCAGTCCCTCCTGCTCCCGTCTCTGAAACTTCTCCTTGAGACCCAAGATGACAATCTGCATGCCATGGGCCTAGAGCAAATCTCAACTGTCAGCAAGGTATGCCCAGTTGAATTTACTATTTATCTTTGTTTTATAGAAATGAATTGGCACTCATAAACAGTAACCACGGTTAACTTAAAATTACTTTACCTACAGTATTCTCTCACTAGAGAGCTGTGTCTGTTCTGTTCAGTCCATATGTATTTGTTTCACAAATGTTTACTGAGCCCCGCCTGTGAACCAGACTCTGGGTGCTGAGAATACAAAAACAAGTCAGAAAGCTGTTTTTGTAGAGAAGTGGTATATTAATCTCATGGACCAGCAGACCTTTCTTGACACTTGGAATTTGGGGACAGGAAACTTCTAGCATCCAATGGATATTCTATCCCTGGGTATGTGTTTGGTTAGCTGCTAATTAAAGGTGAGTTTCCAGTAGTATTTACTGTCACCTTCTGAAATCTCAAACTCTTTTCCTCTGGCAACCTGAGCTGCCTCTGAAGCAGCCTTGTGGCTTGAAGATAGAGATACTGAAGTCAAGTCTTAGGATTCCTTCCTCAGGCTTCTGTTATCATGATTAAAGAAGCTTTCTCTTCCTTTTTAAAATTTACACTTTACAAGGGCTGGGGTTGTGGCTCAGCAGTAGAGCACTTGTCTAGCGAGGCCCTGGGTTCGATCCTCAGCACCACATAAAAATAAAGAAAGATATCATGTACAACTACAACTAAAAAATAAATATTATAAAAAAATTTACACTTTACAATTAGATAGCTCAGGGTCATGTTTTAACAAGTTATGTTGTTTCTGAAAGCCTTGTTTACAGAGATCACTTTCATTTGAACTGTGTGTGTACACATGCATACTTTGACACATACATATATAACTTCACTATGCATGAATATGTATATAATATATAACATATTTTATACACATTGTATCTTTTTATGTGTATAAAATATATTTTTAAACAAAAATGTGCCAGGATATCCTCTGAAGACCAGAGAGGGAAAGAGAAAGCTAGATCAGAAGTATGTTTGCCACCGAAGACAATAAAGAGATTGATAAAATTATACCATAGATATAAAATTTTATTAATGACAAAGGATATAGAAAGTTATGTAAAAGGTTATAGAAAGTAGAATATCGTTGTATTTGGAAACACTCCTTATGAACAAAATGAGAGAATTCCTGTGCCTTTAGTCACTAAGCTGTATTTTCAAAGTCAGCAAAGGTTTGGGAATGCCTCTATTGTCACTGATAATCAGTCCTGACTGAAGTAAGGAATAAGGGGCTGTCTGTTGGTAGCCCCTTTGCCTATCTGTACATAAGTTTGGAAATTCATATGAAATTGAGAATTATAGTGAGTTTATCATAGCCTGTTTTTTCTTTAAATGCAAGAAATCAAAAAGCAGAGCAAACTGAAGGAAGTCAGGCTGCATGTTTTCAGAGCCTTTCCCACCAGCGCCCTGCCAGTCTCTGTCCAGGCGCTCTCACTGGCCTCTTGGAGAGCAGGACAGTGGTGGAGTACACGTTGCCTTCCCATCCTTATCCTTTGTGGAGCTTTCCTGGTGCACTCCCGATTCCATAGGCCAGTGGATCCATTTTCATTTTAAAGATTCTTTTTCTTAAACTCATTTGGTCAGAACTAAAACTAGAACAGGGTTCTAAACTTCTAGCTAACCTGCTTGCACAGCTCCCCTTCCCCCACACAGTGACTATCAAAATTAAAAACTAAATGGACCTCTATGGCACTTGAGCAGTTTTTACATGGCACTGGTAGACCTCACAATACTTTGATCTGAACTTATATGCTGCATGGTGGGTGCTGAGACTTGTGGTTTTGAAACTAACGTGCAAACTGTGGCTATAAATTACCTGAAGTTGTCATGATAGCATAAAACCTCAGTACTCTTGGGACACAAAAATCAAAGTCACAGGTATAAATTGCTGAAAGATATCACTTACTACCATGGGACGCTTACTTTTAGGAATTCTATAATGAGACATAATTAATTTCTGTACACTAAGTTGAGTGTTCATGATAAACTATCCCCTCTGTGCCCTTAAAATGTGTTTAACAAAAAAAGCTGAGTATCTTTAGACCTTTTACATCCTCCAGAGAGCCGAACTTTTGCAGTGCTTCCCATTTTTTAAAATATCTTTCAACTTTTTATTTTAAGATAATTTTAAATTCCATTCAATGGGAAGAACTATTACAGTGAGGTCTCCTAACACTCCTCACCCAGTTTCCCCAATGGTAAAGTCTTGCATAGCTCTAATATAATTTTATGATCAGGATATTGATACTGATACTGTATCAACCTTCTTGGGATTTCACTGGTTTTGTCACATGTGAATTCATGTGTCTACCACTGTAGTCACAATTCAGAACGTTCCTTCACAAGGATGCCTCAGACTGTCCTTCATAGCCTCAGCCACCTTCACCTGCCCTGCCTCCCAGATAGACCTTGGCAACTACTGATCTCTTCTTCATCTCTATAATTTTGTCATTTCAAGAATGCTGTATAAATGAAATATGAAATTACTACAATTTGTCATTGCTCTTCCAACACCATTAAAGGGTCATGTTATACTTTTCTAAAAGAAGAGTTTCTGTGAGCATTTTTGCAGGACTCTTGGCAAGCTATTTTTAAATCATCTTTGGTATTGTAGTGAAAAATCTAAAACTTTTCTTTTTTAGTTTTTATTTTACTATGTACTATGTCCATTAGCAGGGGGATAGAGTTCATCAATAACTTTAGTTTCTCCCTTATTGGTTATTGACGGTAGCTCCTGTGGACATTAAAAGAAACAACATCTGGCAAAGGGACTCCTCTGATAGCAATTGGTCTAGTACAGTGCACAAGTACAAAGACTCCCTCTCTTGTTTGCTGATAGTGTGTGTCATTTCGCTGTTCATTATCAGATGCTGACAGCTTTATAGGTGTTTGCAGTTACAAGGATGACGCTTAAGTGGTGATGCCAGAGGTTGTACTGGCTTTTCCTCCAATAGCAGGACTCATTCTTCCTCTAAGCTTTTCTGAAATTGCTCAACACCCCTGTTGTTGAGCTCGTAACCTTTTACAGATGACCAACAGTCTCTTTCCTGGGCCAGAAATGCAGAGTCCTTCTTAAAGATGATATTGTCAGTGAATAGTTAAAACCCTGTGTAGTACCGACTGCTGGATTCCCTGCACCAGTCCCCATAAGACTGAGAGTGCACCTTTAAGACCTTGTTCTCTCCAAGCTGGGTGCCCCTGCTGGAGTGTTCAAAACTCGCCTCTAGAATAGCCTCTGTTCAGGTGGAAGTCTCTCAGCTCATTCCATCAAAGTAAACTCCTCCAGTTTTGTAATAGTTTTGTGTTTTAGTTGTTCAAATGATACTTGTCTAATAGACTATCAGATTTTTCAACTATGTGAAGTTCTTTGACTTCTCACACTTCTGGTAGTTATGTTGAGGACATTGTTCTTGCTTTTAGTAGATTGTTTTCCTGTTTATGTATCACTTTGGATTATAAAGATGTGGGAATGAAAATCATTTGGATCTTACTATAAATAGTAGAAAACAAGTGGCCAAAGAAAGCTGTGTGTCTCAAAACATGACCTAGGTAGACAAGCTTCCTCATGATACATAGATAAGTAGACACATAGATACAGAAATTTAAAAGTCAGTGAATATGATAAAATAGCAGATTAGACACTACCTAAGAATGGCCTAGAGAATTAGAAGATAGATTTAAAATAAAAGAAAAACAGAATTCAGCACAGAAATTTATACAGGATGTATGAAAATTTCCAAAGTATGAGTAGAGTTCCACAAATAGAATAGAAAGAATAGGAGGGAGATTATATTTTCAAAGCTAATAACTGAAAACATTTCCAAATTTAAAAGATTTGAATTCTCAAATTCAAAATGGATGTCCTTTAATAAAGTTATATATATATATATATATATATATATATATATATATATAAATAATTTGTTATGTTTACTATAGTGAAACCAACAAAGGAAAAATAAATCTTAATGCCTCCGAAGACAAAATGCCAGTTTTTTACAAAAGAACAAAATTTAAATTGGCATTGAAGTCCTAATAGCATCACAAGACATGAGAAAAATGTGAACTAAAATTTTCAAAGTGAAGATAAGAAGCTGTCAATCTAGAATTCTATATTCAGCTAAACAATCACACCATGAAGGATAAAGATATTTTTAAACCAAAAAAAGAAACAAAACATTTTGATGTAAGTTTCACTTAAATAATCCCCAAAGAATAAATTTCACAAAGAACAGAATTTAATCCAGAGGAAGAAGATATGAAAAGTAATGATGATTATGATACTTGTGTATTTTAAATCCTCTCTATTGAAAAAGGGAACTTTCTTTGTTTAAAGGCCTCTTTAAATCACCACAGAGTTTTAGAATTTAAATAGCACAGGTGAAAGTATATATTTATTCATGTAAAACCAGAAACCTAGGGTTTATTGACTTGGCTTGAGAAATAAAACATTCCAAAGATTTTGAAATAAAAAAAATAAGAGACTCTACAACCTTGGATATACAAAAGGAATGAGAGAAAATTATATATTTCAAATTAAATTCTAATATTGAATTATTATTTTTTCAGAACTTTGAGTAATATATTTGTTGCTTATATTTCCATATCTTATGTAAATCCTAATTAAATCTGTACTACTATAAAATGTGCAAAATTCTCTGTAATTTGACAGTGAAATGAGATAGATAGAAATTTAAATTTATGTTTAAATAATTATAATGGTGATATTATTATTCAATCTCTATTGTTTAGAATATCTAATAATTTTCTTTGATTTCAAAATACACATAAAATGTTTATGAAAGAGGAAAGACAGAAAATAAATAATATAAAGAAGAATACAAAAGTTACCTATAGCACTATGACTCAAAGATAGTTGATGTAGTTGAATGTATTTCATTCCTAAAGACAAATGACACAATGCAAATTCCTGTTTATTATTAGCTAACTTTACAAATATACTTGTACTCTCTGGCCTTAATCCTCATCTGTAACATAGGCATACTACTAGTATATACTTAGTAGGGTTTTAAACAGTTTATGACACAAAACTTAAGCATACACAATAAATGTGACTTATTATTTAAAAAAAATAGTTTTGTGTACAGAAAATGTTCCAATTTCATAATTCCAAATGTGCAATGGCTTCTGCTTTCTGCTGCCACCTCCTCTTTGGTGCTGCTCAGTGTCTGCCCCCACCCCATGTCCAAGGGCTATCCTGGACTCCTGCCGTGCCTAGTCGGAGTAATTCATGGAGTTAGAAAGGGAGTGTCACAGCACAATCATGAACACCTCATGCAAGGTCTCTCCCTGATGCCAATGATAATTCCCTCTTTCAAGTTTCATCACTTTGCCAGGCATCGTGACAGACACATTTCTATCTTAGTGATTCTTAGTCACTTCATCATCTTAATAATCCTATAAGAAGATACTATTCTAATTTCACAGATGAGAACTAAGAGGTCACAAAGCTAGTGAGCAGCCAGAGCTGAAATCCAAATCCCAGACCTAATGTTCATCATTCTTAACCATACGCTTCTATTGAACTGAGAGAGCTGGTTACATTGGAAAAGGAATCTAGAATCCAGGAATCACTAGAGAAATGGGACTGTGGAAAGCACCTTGAAGAATATAAGTCAGTGCTGAAAAAAAACGGGAACAGGGTGGCCCAATGGTTTGCCCAGGCAGGCCTCCTTTGTCATCCTACTCCCTCACCCAGGCTCTGCTGAGCCACTCCAGGGGTTGGGTGGCTGCCACCTTCTGGGAGTTCTGTGCTGTTTTGGGTAGAGCTCATTGCACCTCTTTATCTCAAGCATGTTGACTTTAGTCCTGCCCTGGGGAGATGCCCAGAATTAGCAAGGTGCTTCCTCCAATGGCAGACCTTCATGTATTTCATGAATATGATTCCTCCCCCTCAGATCTTGCTGTGAAGGCATCAAGAACCTGCCACTGTTATTTATGATGATGCCAGTGTCTAGGTTGGAGGAAGAACCTTAATATGATCAGAAAAGCATCTGTGAATTGACACATACAACCAAGAAACCTTCTTTTCTTTGATGCTCCCCCTCCTTTTCCCAATTTCCAGCTAGCATCTCCCTGATGGGACTCTCTTACTCACTGGAATGCCCCCCCTTGGGGCTGCCTTCTCCAGCCCAGCTGTGGCTTGCACATTTTCTTTTCTGCCTTGGTGTACTGTGACAGCAGGAAGATTGGGTTGGGGTCTTTCCTGGAATCTGCTTAGTCATTTGGTGTTAACCCTAGCATTAGTTGGACTACTACTAATTGTGTCCACACCAAGCTGAGCAAAAGTGATCCAAGTGATGCAAACAACCAGGCAAGTTCTTTCCTATGTTTTGCAGATACCTATTGGTCTCAGACTTACCTCTTTAATGACTGTTCTTTCTGCTCTTAGAGGCTGTTTTCTCAGGCATGTCTGTCATTTAAACAGGATCATAGCAAAACCCATTACTTTCACCCACTATCATCCATCCTCACCTCTGCTCACTCTTCTTAAAGAATGAAGCTCTGCATTCATTCTGCGCAGAGGTCTCGGTGGGTCCTTCCAGTGATAGGCAGCTAGCAAACTCCTTAGGTTAAGCATTTCAACCATAAACAGCACTGGTGGTTGGTTGATCTCCTTTGTGTGAACAGGTGTATCTAGCCCCTGCATGCACAGCCTGGATCTGAAGTGAGCAATTAGTAGGGCATCATATCATCATCCCTGTGCTTAAAGGCATTGTCTCTTGCAGGGACTGCCATATGAAATAACACAGTAAATAACACAGTAAATAAGGTAGTGTGGAGGTGGATACATGCACAGGACTACCAAACCAGAGCTGTCAAGCCCAGCTTCAGGTTGCGGTCCCAGAGATGGTCAAGGTTGGATTTTCAAAGATTTTCTTCCTCTTGTGGTTAGAACATAAGTCAGGTGATGTGTCCTAAGTGGTTGCAGAAGAAGTGCACTATTAAATGTCATGCCAGGAGTGGAGCTGATGGCATGCTGAGAAAATAGAATCTGAATATTGTATTCAAATAAATACAAAAAATTATCTGCAGGCATTTTTTTATTCCAACTATACACAAGGGTTTTATGCTTTTCTGCCATTGTAGTTGATATTTTTAATAACTTTTATTAAGTGATAGTATATGTAAAAATAAGACAAATATTCTTCCTTAAAGTAAACAGTGAAATAATAATAAATAATCTTCTTTAAAGTAATTGAAATGAGGCCCTGCATGCATTAGGCTACTGGGATTTCAGTTTACCTCATTACTGTAATTACTCTTAGCTTGATGTAAATCCATAAAATCAAAGATTTTAATTCAGAGAAGGTTCATTACCTATTGTTGAAAGAGGAATTAAGCAGATAACATTTTAATGGCTTGGAAGACAGTAGTGCTTTGTGCTTTAATAGATTTCTTTCCCAAGACCTGCAAAGTTTCATTTATTCTTAAAAACTAATTGCTGACACACAAAAACCCTAACATCTCTAACAGAGATGGCCAGCGATTCCTCGTCTTGTGATTTACAAATCCTTCCCCCTTCAGAACAGCCTTCATTCCTGGTTGGTTTGACTGTAATAACTTCAGCTATTTACTGAGCTTGAGCTCTGCCCCAGGCATTGTGCTAGGCACTTAAAAGTGCCTCTTATCTCTGAGCCTTACCATCAGTCTATTTTCTCATGTGGAGACTGGACCCAGAGAGATTGTCCTTAACAAGGTCACACAGCAGTTCAGCAAAGGAACCAGGATCAAAAGTCTGTCTTTTCACACTACCAAACTGTCTCTCACTCTAATTCAGGGTTTATTTGATCAGGGGAATTAAATCAACTAATCCTTCTGGACTTGTCTCGTACTTAAACTTCCAGACAGAGTCCAAAAATGACAGGCTCTGTTGTCTCCCTCCAGCCCTTAAAGCACCAGTTAATCCAACGTTAAGGACATGTGGTTTTCCACAGATCATATACCAAAGTCAACTCCTGATTAGTTTATGAGTTAACCACTTAAAAGTCAGAAAAAATATGTGTATTTTTACATGTTAATATAACTGAAATATATATATATATATATATATATATATATATATATATATATATATATATATCAGTTCCTTTGAAGAATTACAACTTGTGCTTTAAAGTAACAGAAAAAGTCATAAAGCAATAGATTCTTTTCTGATAATATAAAAATGTGAAACTCCTATAAACAAAATGTAACCAAAACAGAATTGTATTTAACAGACTAAGGTATTCATTATGACTAAAACCGGGAGCTTGGCCAAAAGAAAATGTCACCATGAAAGTGTCATTGGAGCTGATGTGGGCTGGAGTGGAATGTTCCCTAGGTTGTAGAGAAGACACTGTGTATGGTGGGTGATAACTTGTCCTTGTACTTAAGTCTTGCAACAGTCAGTCTGCTCATCTTCAGGCCTTGCCTTCTGGGACAAAACAAGCAGGAAGAGCACATTGTATATAGTTTTATAGTATAGTTGGCATACACATTAGTTAATTGGTTTTGAAATGCCATATTATTTTTGAGGTTCCTATAGTCAAAATTAATTAAAACAGAAACATTAAGAAGAGCCTGTCACGATGCTGTTTTGTGACACTAGCGTAAATGAGAATTTCTGATATGGGTAAGAAACTTCATTTCTTACAAAAATATGGACAATAATATAAAACAGAAAAATACAAACTAATTATCAAAATTGGAAAACTACATGTAGACTAAGAAGATAAGACCAGGGAGAGAGCTAGTGTGGCCACAGAGCCTCTAAACACTTACTTAAAAAGTAGGTTGATAAGGGCTTCTTAGAGCAAGAACAGTTTAAAACCCCCTATTGGATGTCCTGTTCATGTCATTGGGTTGCAAGATGGATTCTTGATGTGGTAGAGAAAAGGTCTTGTTCTGAAAAGATTATTTTCATGTAGATGTATACTCAATAAGAGAATTGGGTGAACAAATGTAGCCCTGATGGGAGTACACATGAGATGGTCAGCGTGGGTGTCCAGAGCACAGGCTTAACACCTAAATTCCTTATGTGTAAAACTGACAAGGGAAAGTGCCAGTTTCACGGGGTTGAATTGGGAGGACTCAGGGAGGTGATGTTTGTGCAATATTTAGCACAGCTTTCGGCACTCAGTATATGCTGATGTAGCTAGGAGTCAAGCAGGGTTCTTGGTGTGTGGTAATGTCTCCTTAAGTTGAAAGGAAACCATGTCCATCATCCCCACTCTGTGACCTCCGAGATGTTCTGTCCTATGTGCATTTCTTGGAGCAGGTGCTGTTAAGCCCGGGCAAAGGTATGTATAACCGTGAAGGCGAAAGGAAGCTGAGTGGCCCAGTGGAGCGGGCGTGGCTCTGCGGGGAGAGGTTCCGCATGCCCACTCACATTCTGCTGTCGTCTTTCTTGAAGGTGAATGTCTCCAACTGTGACCAAGAGCTTCTTTCCCTGCTCCTGGACGCTGGACTGTTGGTGAAGTGTGTCTCCACTCCCTTCTATCCACACCTCATCCGCCACCTCCAGCAAGGGCACTGGGATGCAGAGGAGCAGGCTAAACACCTGTGGCAGGCCGGCCACGAAGCCGAAGCGGGCTCTCTCCTCCTGGCCGCCAGGAGGACTCATCCAGCCCTGAGAACTTTCAGCACAGCCCTTGGTGCCGGGCAGCACTGGGTGTAACGCGCCTTCCCTGGCCCTCCTCTGGGGACAGAGAACATCAGAGCTGAGCGCTGTTCCCAGGGCAACATGAGCAACACCTGATTGTCTCAGTGATGTCAACAAATTTCAAATAAAGCTGTATATAAATGGTGACCAGCCTGCCATTTTGACCTTTTTTTCTTTGTTCTACTAAGTGATCAAAATATCGTCTCCTATTGACTGCCTCTTTTTTCCTTTTTTTCGTATGCTACCTTTTCCTGGGTAGAATGCCTTTAGCAAGGTATCTAAAACTGTGGTTCAGGAAGTTGACCATGGCGGTGGGTTGCGTGAGAAAGGGAGCGAGGCTGAGGAGCGGCTGCGGTTGGGATCAGGTGCCACGGGATGGAGGAAGAATGGACATGGATTCAAGGCAGGTTGGTTCTGTGACCTTGGGCAAAGTGTTCTACCTCTCCGAACCTTTAGTCTGTCATGTGTAAGAATAGGGTTATATTATTTATCACACAAAGTTGTTGAGTTTCATGCGAGGTTGTGTGGGTGAGGTTCTGTCAGAGGGGGGGGGCGGGGCAAGAAGTGTGAGCTCTGCTGCCCCTCGCTGCTGTTACAGGAATTTTGACTGAAAGGCCACGGCCAGAACAAGGTCAGCATGTGAGGAGGCTAGGGCCTCCACGGTTTGTCAGCATCAGCATGTTAGGGTGACACATTTTCAGGTCCATGTAACCACAGAAGGGCTGCTTCCTCTATGTAGAATAAGGACCCTGAGGTATCACTTGCTGGTATTCGCTTCCCCTGCCAAAGTGTGCACCGGATGACAGGGCTCTGGCTGGTCTAATGAATCTCACACCAAACCCAAGCCTCAGCAGTAGCCAAAGTGGCGGGTGGGAGAAGGGGCACCCACACCTGCACAGTGACTAGTGTCCACCTGAGGCACCCATCCAGACAAGGAACCCCAGTCTCCTGCCCTTACCCTCAAGGAAATAATTTAGACGAAGGTTCAGACTAGGAAGATGAGGTGATATAAGATAATCCTTTGTCATGAAGAATAATTTTAAATAAGTTTAGGTGATACGGGAGGCTCCCCCTGATCAGTTTCCATATTGCTCTGTCAAAGCCACAGCCTGGTTGTAACGGGGCTCTCTATGGGGCTCTGCCATCCCGCATGTCAGGGCAGCGGTCTCCACACCTCACCCCACAGGCTCCCACCTCCACCATGCACACACCT